TCGTATACGTATTAACCGGTCTTGCATGTATACATATCATTACATCAGCACAAATACATACTACGCAAAAAGAGAGCGCGAAATAATAAATATAGGTATATTACGTCTTGTATTTTCATCTGATATTGTTCTTAAAATAATAACGCGTCACATTTTTTTTTAACATATAGAATTTATGTCATATCTCTATTGACAATACCGCACTACGTGCGCATTTATAATATATTGGAATTATGTTTTAAAATTAAAATTACTTCCCTCCTCTTCCACCTTTTTCTAGTAACATTAAGTGCATTGTAATGTGCAGAGCCATTATACATTGCATTACGGTAAACGACCAGATGACCTCGTTTAATATCCATTTTATGAAACATTTCCGGAACTCATAAAACCGGTTACGCATCATGCGGATCCAATTTTTGTTACGGGAAAGAAATAAATACGACTTTCTTGAGTCTTGACTCTTGAGTGTTATGAAAAAGAAATGAGTACGACTTGTTGGGTAAGAAATGAGTATTTAAGTAATCGTTTATGTTTTGGACATGTCATCTGAGAAATCAAATGATCTCTTGGATAATATCACCGCCTTAAACAGTACTATATTAAGAGGGAAGATCATTGCATGATATAAAAGAAATCAAATTTTTTTACATTTTTGTAATGGAATTTTAAAAATATATATAATCCTTATTGATTTATATTTTATTTTTTATATGCTTAGACAGAACGCGACTTACGTACGTCACAACTGCTGCTGTGGGCGTTAGCACGGCAGTTTTTTTCATCTGGTGGTGGTGGAATAGAAAACAAAAGCCTCAGCCACCGTCAAAGTGGCGAAAAGTCGGAGAACTAAGTGATATGATGGTGTTCCCGGTTAAATCACTCGGTGCAGTTCGCATGACAGAGATGGAATGCACCACGTTGGGACTGAAGTCCGGATGGTTGAGGGATCGAACACTGCTCGTTATCGATCTTGAGGGTCGATTTCTTACCGCCAGACAGTTTCCCAAAATGGTCAATGTGAGAAACTGCGAAATTTATTTTCTTTATTGTTATAGAGTTAAAGAGAGTAGAGAATAATTTTTTAGAATCATTTTAATATTTATACAGTAACTATTTAATACCCTTTCGTACTTAATGTAATTATTATACATATATTACATTATATATTAGAATATACAAAAAAATAAGTTAACGAAAAGGATATTAAGAATATGGATACACATTTTACCGAACGTAGATCGAAGAAGTTGATCGATACTGCTAATATAAACACAGTTAGTTAATCATGTTTTCTTTTTATTATTTATACGAGTATACATATTCTAATGCTCAATTAAAAATGAAGCTATTTAATAATTCCAACTATGGAAGCTATCATCCATTTTTTTGTTACGTTAAAGGTATCGCCTAGTTTTTCCGGTTCCGTGCTTACGCTTCGTGCTCCAGGTATGATGTCGGTGTCGGTCGACCTTGCACAATTCCGTGGTAAAGGTTTCCGAGTCGCTGTATGGGGTCAAGCGGTACCGGCACGCGATTGTGGTGAGGAAGTTGCCCGATGGCTGTCGCGTTTTCTTTTTCAAGAAGATACCGGATGCCGGCTGGTTTATTATCCGTTAGATCGACCAGTGAGAACAGTGCGACAGAGAAATCTAAAAGTATTTCCTTTACTACAAGAGACAGACTCGGTAAGTACTTGCAACGATAAAAGATATATATAAGATTATTTTTAATATAATTATTTTTTTTTATTTGTTTATTTATATCTTAAACATCTTAACCATATTCTAACTATCCTAATCATCCCTCAGAAATGTTTCTAACAGAGAGAAACTCACTCTTCTAACGTATTATGCACTTCCGTTATAACGAAGTTGACTAATAATTAAAAACTGACAAATACAAGTCATACATGATTGACGGTGTAGAAATTTGAACACAAACAAAATATAGTCGTGCATATATAATCGTTAAAATACCAAATATTACGTTTTAATTCATTTTTCGAACTGAAGATGGTTCGAAAAATGAACTCTCGAAATTCATTGATTTGATTTTTTTCTATCATTTCTGTTACTAACGTTATTATTGATAAATATCCCGACATAATTTATCAATAATTGATGATGCAAGAAAAAAAATCCTTACGTTGTTTATATGACATTAAGAAGAGTCATAGAAAATATGATTGTGAAAGTAGAAAATACAATTTTATATATGTATAAATATAATAATTTTGAATTAATCATAAAGAATGATTTCATTAAATTGTTTTAAATGAAAACTGTAAAAAATGTCACAGGGAGCTTATCCAGATGAAACAAGCTTCAGTATGATCAACGAAGCTTCAGTAGCAGATCTTAATACCCGACTAAACGAACCAGTCACGCCGCAGAATTTTCGCATGAATTTCGTGGTCAAGGGTGCCACTGCTTTTGAAGAAGATAAATGGGATTGGGTAAAGATCGGGAACGTAATTCTGAGAAACGTTAGACCCTGCACAAGATGTATTTTTACTACTATAGATCCGGAAACCGGCACAAAACATGCTAATGCGGAGCCTCTGAAAACTTTGAAAACGTACATATGTATATTAAAAAATATATAGTTGTAAAATAATATTTTTAAGATTTTCTTAATCAATGTAATATATAGCAAAAAAGTATATAACACATACAAAATATTTTACGCAAAAGTTGTCGAAAAATTTAGTATAACTAGAGTACCTCGTGCCGCTAATAACGAAAAATTTGTTTTGTACAGTTATAGACAGATAACCGATCCGCAAATTCGACCTGCAATTGGTGACAGTCCAGCTATGGGAATTCATCTTGGATTGCGAGGGCCAAACGGAATAGTTCACTTAGGCGATCCAATTTATGTGGGCATCCCGGAAGAAGAAACATCATCTTTGGTTTCACCATCATAGCTATACCGTTGGGACTCTTGCGAGATTTCAGAACATGAACTCGATACAGATTTAATAATCGAGGACCAAAACATGTGAAAAGCGGAGTTCCAGAATGATGAAATATTGATAGTTATATAGGGTGTCTCAGAAATAAGGCCACATTGGAAATCATAGAATGGATCAAGAACAATAAAATCTGATATCATTTTGAGATATTTGCTGTAGTTTTCAAATTAAAAAAGGAAACGTATAAGCCAATGTGCGATGATAAGCAATATGCGCCAGATTGTCAAATATTATACACATACAGACACTCGACATGCATAATTATCCATGAATAGGCCAATTTAATGAATGTGTGCAAAGTTGATTTATGTTAGCCAAATCGTCTGAAGGTACCTTTATACGAATCTGGTCTACAAATTCTATCAAGGCCTAGTGATCTTTATCAATTTTATATTAATATTTATATCATACAGTATTTGTCTAATTTTTGTAAAAACTTTGTCATAAGTACATAAATACGATAGAGAACGTCAATAAACGATCAAAGTTAGAAGTTTCTAATAATACAATATATATTCTTCGTTAAATCAATTTATTTAAGATATGATTGCGAAATATTTGTCATAAATATTTTTGTAAACAGATAATAAGTATTTTTGTAAAAAATTGTAATAAATCATTAATGTATTTTTAAATGATAATATTCGTACATATATACAACGAGCAGAAAAATGATTGTAAAAACTAGTTTTCTCATACAATATTATTAGGAGTGGACATATAATATAATCATCCATTCATATTTTAGGAATATTGTTTAATATTATATAATTTTAATAAAATATTATTAAAACATTACATTTAATATTATAAGAATATGCCTAAAATATTATCTATTATTAAATAATAATTTTTATTTATATTTCAGATTAATTGCGTTGAAAGTCCGACAATCATATCGGCACGCAATTATATAATTTCTGAAATTAATTATTTAAATGAATATATACTATATAATAGTTCAACATCTTAACATTCAGACCATAG